GACAATCATTTTAATCGGCCAAGGTTAACTAAGCTACTATTCAAGAAGTGCAAATTATACTTAAAGACTTATATTAGTAAATTCTGTCACCCAAATATTATTAAACCATATTTAATAAATTATATACTTCTCTACTACCTATACTACTTATACTTATATACTATGGACATTATAATGTTATTATTACATATAAATTGCTTATATAATATTGTATTTATATTTAACTTTATTTGAAGGTATGAAGATTTAAATGGTGTGGCCTTTTGTGTGGTCGCAGTCTCCTCTCGTTGTATGGAAGTAGTTTGACCTTGTTTTCGCAACTTGGTCATATTGCCATGAAGACATAAAGGAATGCATCTAGTTCGGAGTCCATAGTATGCATGCTATTTTCCTGATCGGACCATGAGGTTGGTGGTTCCCGGAAGTTTTGTCGGCATCGTCAGTGAACTTTACCATTCTTACACCACACCATAACTCGTCAAAGAGACAGGTGAAGAGGGAGACTGTAATAGGACCTATGAGAAGAGGGTTGCTGAACAATACGACAGAATTGAATCAGCATTTCCAGAACCAGGGTGGGAGTGTGAAGAGGTCTCATGAAATCCGCACAAAAGGGCACACCATACCACATCTAAATAATCAATAAATAAATTACGATGGTGAAGGGTTGATATGTGGATATAAGGTAGGTGAATAGCCCAGGGCAGAAAGAGATACCACAACTGTTTAGCATACAATTGGTCCAAGGATCGGCTTCACATGTCTCTTTGACGAGTTGTCGTGTGGTGCTAAGAATGGCAAGGCTCACGGAAGATGCCGACTATGATGCCGTCCAAATGTCTGGGAATGTACAAAGTCCACGGTTAGACTCTGATAAGTATAATGCATACTATGGACTCCGGACTAAATGTACAACTGTAGGCCTTCCTATCAATATAACCAAGTTGTGAACATAAGGCCAAGTAACTTCTACAAAACGAAAGGAGGCCGCGATCATACAAAAGGTCCGATTAGCTTGGTCTTCACACCTTCGATTAAAGTATGCAGGTAAGATTGCCAAACAATGCACCGATTGTGACGAAGAAGAAAATTATGAGTCAATCTTGACAGTTGGTTTCGCGACAGGGTCATATGACCTAATAAGGAAGTGTCACTCGGACAGAGTAAATGAAATACCTTATTGTGTCTCTATCCAAAAATTAAAGAAAACTCTCAAAACTGAGAGGTGTAGCTTATTTAAGTCGATAGATATTAAGTCTAGATTATGGAAAAAGTTAAGCAAAAGTCACAATGGTCCAAGATTTGATACATAAGCGGCAGGACAAGAAATTGCTTGGATATGGGTTGATAAGACAACGCAGGACTCAGCCACCTCGATCAAATCATGCTGCTCCGGTATTAACGGCATCCACTGCTTCTCAGGACAACGGGGATGAGGTAGTGAACTTATACTCAATCCGTCTTGATTCCGAAACGGTGGATCTCTTGGACAAAAAGTTAAATTTTAGATGTCAGCGTGGAAGTTAGTAACATCTGGGAGAGACAGACAGAAGAGACCGAACGGGAAATAGAAATGGAATTAATCCAGAGAATCCTGTACCATCAAGAGCCAATGAAAAGGAGTGGATTGATGAATATACGTAGAAAATTGCAAATAAATGAACAAATGGTTCTTCGGGAGGATAAGCGAGGTTCGGCGGTGAATATGCACACGCAACAGTACACGGAGCGAACGGAAAGTAGCCTAGGCGACAGTAAAAATTATCAAATACTAAGAAATAATCCAACACTGAATACCAACGGAATACGTAAGGAAATGTTAAAGTAAATGCATGACAACGGAAAAATCGACAGATGGGTGATGAATACGTTAATGCAAAATGACGCAAGACAAACGACAGCCTACGTACCACCGAAGATACACAAGGAAGGAAATCCGCTAAGATTTATGATCAACTACTTGGATGGAGCGATGGACAAACAAGATAAAATTATATGCTTGAAAATAAGGAAATTAAACGACAAACTCTTGAGCAGGGTGACAAATCTATATGAATCTTCTCAAAAGATCTAAAATATTGGAAGGAAATGTTGATAAGTTTTGACGTACAATACAGACACACAAACATATCAGGCAAGAAGACAGTCATTGCCCTACTGGAGGTCTTGGAACGAGATGAAGATACCAGGGAAGCAGCGCGGATAAGAAAGGAGTCATCAACGCGACTAATCAACCATACAGTAAGTAATACTTATTTTACATTCAAAAACACTATTCATGAGCAAATATTTAGACTACCGATGGGATATCCACTCTCACCTCTTTTGGCAAATGCATTCATAGACAGATTGGACAAGGAATTCGAGAAGTCACAGCTGCAACCAAGATTGCTTGTGCAATACCTTGACGACTAATTTGCACTTTGGCCAGTTGGTAAGGAAAATTTGGATGAACTCCTCAACTTGATGGAAGAATTAAATTCAAAATGGAGGTGGAGGAGAATAAATAACTGCCCTTCTTGGATGTTGAGATCATTCGCTCTAACGGAATTGTAAAGAGGAGACTATTCAGTAATAAATCACATGCAGGAATTATTCTCCATTTCAAGCCTCATCGCAATCACAGACTGAAGATCGTAATACTGAGTAGTATGATTATCAGAAGCTAAAGACTACATATATATATATATATATATATATATGAAATTCACAGGAAACGTCAGCTCTAGTCATATCATTGTGGGAAAATTCTACTACCAGTCCTTCATCACCTTAGACGAAATATGGTAAATACATCTCATATTACTGATATACTAGTAGTCTCAAAATACTACTTAAATATGAAAATAAGTAGCGTAGTCTATCGTTATAGCAAATATACGTTTGCTGCATCGACAATCCCACCAAAGAATATGATATGGCGAAAGGCCTGGTCTTTCTTGAAATTCACATTTGA